TGGAAGCCCCATCCCTGGAAGCGTTCAAGGGCAGGTTGGATGGGGCTGTGAGCAACCTGGTCTGGTGGGAGGTGTCCCTGCCCATGCAGGGGGGTTGCAACTGGATGATCTCTAAGGTCCCTTCCAACTCAAACCATTCAATGATATGATTCTGTGATATGAATGTCCAGAATTGTGTTTGGAGTACGAGGAATAAATACAGAGGACTTCTCCATCCAGTTTGCTGGGACAACACGGAGTGTGTGGGCACCGTGGGGTTGTGAGGGAATAAACCCAAAGGCTGCAATAATGCAGGTGTGTGTGTATATATATAGATATAGTAACTGATGTTTAGTACGAACTGCAGGTCAGACTTGCTGAACATCTCTCCAAAAACACGGGAATCACAGAAATGCCCAGCATGGCTTGTTCCTGCTCGATGAGAAGAGGTGAGACAGCCGGACCTGCTACAAAATAGATGACAGAAGCTTCCCCAGAGCTGAACCTGGGGGACTTTGCTCAGGTACCTCGTGGGGAAGCGCGGCGGGGCAGGAGCCCTGTGTGGGCCCGCAGGGACGGTGGGCAGCAGCAAGGCCTTAAGCGCGGTGCAGGCCCGCAGGGACAGTGGGCAGCAGCAAGGCCTTAAGCGCGGCGCAGGCCCGCAGGGACGGTGGGCAGCAGCAAGGCCTTGTGCCTGTCCCACCGGGCAGGGGGGCTGCAGGGCGGGCTGCACGGCAGGCAAGAGCCGACACAGCACGGGCTGCAGGGCAGGCAAGAGCCGACACAGCATGTCCGAGTCCTCCGGTGCTCCTAAAGGAGTGAGAATGGGGAAATAAGGGGCTAGCGGGCTTTAAATAAAAATATAACCCGAGCTGCCTAATGGCAACAAAGGTCCTGTGGGGAAAGTGAGCAGCTGCTGGAAGGCTGTAAGGCAAAATGACAAGTTGTGCCGGGGCGGGTGGGAGACGAGGCACAGCACGGGTGTCAGGGGCTCTTGGGTGGCCTGAGGAGCGAGAGAGGGAGAACAAGGGAAGCAAATCTCAGGAGCAAAACATTCTCAGCTGTAGGAAGGAGAGGGAAGGGCTGTCCCTGCCCAGGGCGAGAGGCTCGGACACGGACACACTCACACTCAGTCACACACACTCACTCACACTCACACTCACACCCTCACACTCACACTCACACACTAACTCACACTCACACACACTCACTCACACACACTCACACT